AATCAGGCCCAAACAATGATGCTGCCACCATCATGTTTGACAGTGGGGATGGTGTGTTCAGGGTAATAAGCTGTGTTGCTTTTACGCCAAACATATTGTTTTGCATTGTGTCCAAACAGTTGGATTTTGGTTTCATCTGACCAGAGCACCTTCTTCCACATGTTTGGTTTGTCTCCCAGGTGCTTGTGGCAAACTTTAAACAACACTTTTTATGGATATCTTTGAGAAATGGCTTTCTTCTTGCCACTCTTCCATAAAAGCCAGATTTGTGCAGTGTACGACTGATTGTTGTCCTATGGACAGACTCTCGCACCGCAGCTGTAGATCTCTGAAGTTCATCCAGAGTGATCATGGGCCTCTTGGCTGCATCTCTGATCAATCTTCTCCTTGTTCCAGATTAAAGTTTAGAAGGACGGCCGGGTCTTGGTAGATTTGCAGTGGTCTGATACTCCTTCCATGTCAATATGCTTGCTTGCACAGTGCTCCTTGGGATGTTTAAAGCTTGGGAAATCTTTTTGTATGCAAATCCGGCTTTAAACTTCTCCACAACAGTATCTCGGACCTGCCTGGTGTGTTCCTTGGTCTTCATGATGCTCTCTGTGCTTTGAACAGAACCTTGAGACCATCACAGAGCAGGTGCATTTATACAGAGACTTGATTACACACAGGTGGATTCTATTTATCATCATCAGTCATTTGGGACAACATTGGATCATTCATAGATCTTGACTGAACTTCTGGACTGAGTTTGCTGCACTGAAAGTAAAGGGACCGAATAATATTGCACGCCCCACTTTTCAGTTTTTTATTTGTTAAAAAAAGTTTGACACATCCAATAAATTTCATTTCACTTCACGATTGTGTCCCACTTGTTGTGGATTCTTCACAAAAAATTAAAATTTTATAACATTATGTTTGAAGCCTGAAATGTGGCAAAAGGTTGAAAAGTTCAAGGGGGCCGAATACTTTCGCAAGGCACTGTATATATATATATATATATATATATATAATATATATATATATATATATATATATATATACACACACACACACAATTGTGTGTCATGTCCAATTTTATTTTGAAAAACCAGGATACAGTGAGTACGCAATAAACGAACCGCGAAGTAGCGAGGGACTACTGTACTTAAAAGCTCTTTGCAATAAGAAACAAAAGCTTTGCATTTTTTGTTCCAAACTAGTAAAATTATTTTATTACCATAAAGATGATGCCCAGTACAGCGAGCCAACGGCGAAGGTTTGAAGCTGGCCTCCACTCAAACTTTACCCAGCTGTACGGTGTAAACTGGAATGCTATCCGCTTGATCTTCCCTCTGAGAGACAGAGACAGGAGGTACTGTTGGGTATAAACATATTTGACACACGCTGGAAATGTGCTGTAAGTATACTAATTAACACTACACACGATACACCTGTCGACATGGTCCGGAGGATAAACAAAGACCTTGCAAAACCTTTGACCTTGATTTGTGACTTTGACCTTAAAGCTTGTGTAATGAAAAGATTATGCAACACGCTAGTTTCATAAAATTATTTTGAGCAGATCAGAAGTTATGGTCTGGACAAGCAAAAACCTCTGTTTAAGTTTGACCTTGATTTGTGACCTTGACCATGAAACTGGCATGATGAAAAGTGTATGCAACATGACGTCTAGTGATGATGCAGACGTGCATCCAGTTTCATTTAATTATCTTCAGCAGGAGTGTTGACAGATGGAGACTACAATAAAGCTAAAGCATTCAGCTAAAGCCTTCATCCATTTATTTTTTTGTTTTAAAGGAGCAAGAAATTATTGTATTGCATTAATTCAATTCAATTCAGTTTATTTATATTGCGCCAAGTCACAACAGAAGTCATCTCAGGGCACTGAAAGAAACATGCATATATAAAAATAATAAATGCTATTATTGGTCATTAGTGAGTTTTCCAATGTTATCTTTCTGTTCAAGTTCTATAACACTGAGTGACTTTTCTCACTGAGAACAAAGTGACTCCCAAAGAGTAAATGGCATCAAGTCGATCTAAAAGAACCTTGTCTGGTCCTTTCGTCCCTTCTAGTCTTTAACTTCATCGGTTTTTAATAACGCAAAATTTTATTTTTAGGCCAGATGTTTTTGTGGTATACCATTTTTCAATTACATTAATTTCTTTAATGAAATACATAAGGTCATAGTTTTAATTGAATTACTGGAGTAAAGATGCAGCAAAGAGATGAGAAAAACTTTTAGAACCTCTAGAAAGCCTAAAGAATAATGTAAGTAAGTTAAAACAAAATAGTCAGACTCCTTTGAAGTCAACTATCAAAAAAGGAGGGTTTTGGGAAAACTAAACTCTGGATGTTTTAAATACTGTACTTGTATGTAGGAATGTTCCAGAGGCCCTGCCACTGGTACGGCTTCATGGACAACCAGGCCAGGGTCTTCATGCCACAGTAGATCCCCAAACCATTGCAGACCAACACATCCATAATCCACTAAAAGGAGGAGAAAAAAAACATTTTATGAAAGTGTGAATAGTCCTGTAATGCTATTACACAACCTAAACCCACTATGTTTCTAGATAGACATTTTCTTAATGGGTATGGGTGTGAACAATTAAGTCAACAGATGTCCTTCAATTCAATTGTCAATTCAACCTTTATAGATAAATCACACTGAGACTCGAAGACTCATTTACAAGTTTTTAATGTGCTTTTTAATGTTATTTTTGTACGTCCTTTTTTCTTGTGTTTGCATTGCCGAGTTTGCAAACATCAACTACGGACATCAGACCCTTTTGGACATCGGTGAGCAACACCAAATACCCGTTTCGAGTGACTTTCATTACACGCACAACCTCCCAGATGACATAGCGAGATCACTAGGCTCTCTGTGGATTGTTGTCGGGCCTGGGAGGTGGCGCAGACGGAGAAGGGAGAGGAAGCAGAAGCGAGGCTGCAGGTCTGGCGTTATGCTAAGGCTAAGATCACAACCTCACAAGCCAACTCTACCGAGCCTTTATCTCTCCAATGCCAGATCCCTGGTGCATAAAACGGATTATTTGGAATTACAACTCGCTGAAAATCGCTATGTTCGTGACTGCTGTGTTCTGATTATCACCGAAACCTGGCTTCACCCCGGGATAACCGATGCTAGCATACAGCTAGCAGGCCGCTCTCTGCTGCGCTGGGACAGGACTACGGTAAGAGCAGAAGTGGGGTGCTCTGTATTTATGTGCATGAGAACTGGTGTAACAACAGGACAATTATAGACAATCACTGTTCCCCAGACCTTGAGTACATGTCCGTGAGATGGCGACCTTTTTTTCTACCGAGAGAGCTAACAGTAGTGATAATTACTGCTGTGTATATACCACCCGACGCTAATGTAAATACGGCGCTCTCTCTCCTGCTGAACACCATCAATGAACAGCAGCGGGCTCACCGCAACGGTGTTCATATAATTGCAGAAGATTTCAATAGGGCTAATCTGAAGACTGTACTCCCAAAATTCTACCAGCATGTTAAGTGTTCTACTAGGGGGGAGAACACTCTGGATCATGTTTACTCGAACATTAAACATGCGTACAGAGCCATACCCCTCCCCCACCTCGGGCAGTCAGACCATCTTTCCCTCCTGCTCCCCCCAGCTTACACCCCCCTCAGACGCAGAGCAAGGCCTACAACAAAAACTGTTACAACCTGGCCTGGTAATGCACTCGATGACCTACAGGACTGTTTTGAACAAACTAACTGGGACTTATTTGAACATCAAGAGATGGAAACACACACAGGAACAGTACTGGACTACATCAAGTTCTGCATCGGAAATGTGACTATGGTCAAAAACATTCGGGTTTACCCCAACCAGAAACCCTGGATGACCAGCCAGGTCCGCACACTCCTCAGAGCCCGCAATGCTGCCTTCAGGTCAGGTGACAGAGCTCTGTACCGAGCTGCTCGAGCCAACCTGAATAAGGGAATAAAAACCGCAAAGTCTGACCATAAAAAGAATATAGAGTCCCATCTGTCCAGTAACAACTCAGGGGAGGTGTGGAAGGGCATAAAAAACATCACAAACTATAGAGGCTGTGAGGTGACAACAGGAGACCTGAGTGCATCACTAGCAGAGGAGATAAACTGCTTCTTTGCACGCTTTGATGCACCACAGCAGCACCCATCTGATCCTGCCCTGTCCCCACACTCACCCGGTTACTGCACCACTCCACTCACTGTACGGGAGCATGATGTTAGACGTTTGCTCCAATCAGTGAACCCCAGGAAAGCTACTGGCCCAGATGGAGTACTTGGCAGGGTGTTCAAAGCATGTGCTCTCCAGCTCGCCCCCACCTTCACCAGAATTTTCAATCTCTCCCTGGCCCAGGCAGTCACCCCTCCCTGCTTAAAATCTGCAACCATCATCCCAGTGCCAAAAATGCCTATCATCACCAGCCTGAATGATTACTGACCGGTGGCTCTCACTCTGGTAATCATGAAGTGCTTCGAGAGACTGGTTCTCCAGCACATCAAGGACTATCTCCCTCTGAACTTTGACCCCTGCCAGTTTGCAAATCGCACCAACAGGTCCACAGAGGATGCTATTGCAGTAGCTCTCCACACCGCGCTGAGCCACCTGGAACAACAGCACAGCTACGTTCGAATGCTCTTTGTGGATTACAGCTCGGCCTTTAACACAATCATTCTGGACATTCTTATACATACATTGGACAATCTCGGCCTCCCCCCACTCACATGTGCCTGGATAAAAGACTTGGATGAGAGACGAAACGTTTCTAGAATTTTTTTTTGCTTTGTTTTGCTTTTGTTTTTTTGAATGACCAGAGGACCAGATTGAACTTTTTTGGAT